GGTTGGCAGGTGTGTAATTAGTCCATGATTCTGTATGTTCTCCTGATTAACACACTCTCAGCAGCCTGAGGGCCAAAGCCCTGATCACTTACATCTGCCACAGACACAGAGGAGAAAAAAATCAGCCCACAACTACTTTGACTCAAAGTGTTTGATCTGATCGGAACTTCATTTTTTTGCCTTGGTTTGGTCATCTAATTTGGCCAAAGAAAATAATATATACATATACTTGTTTGATTAAATTACATTTTAAAATACTCGTAATCAGACAGTTACTTTTTTATTGATTACATAATTACATATTATTCATGTAATAGCAATAAATTATTCTTCATTTATTGATTCTCCCTAATACTTGATTATTGATTATATCTTTCTTAAATAGCCTACTGCTTATATACACTCAGGAAGTCTTCCAGTTTTGTGGACATTCACACAAAGACCAGTCCTTAGTCAGGTGGCTTTAATTACACAGAAAAATGAGAAGCCACACAGCATTTGACCACTGGATTTACAAAAATCATTTCAGTTTTAAGAAGTGTTTTCTCAACATTTCAACATTGTATCAACTACTGATGAACACATTAATTTTGATTTGAATTATCACTCAGTGTTATCACATTATCATAGTATGTATTACTATGTCTTTGGAAGGCTTTTGTCTTTCTAACACATTAAAATGCACACATTCGTGTTATTTCTTATGTAATGCAGGGACCTCTTCACTTGAAATACCCCTGAGATTAAGGTAACAAGTTCATAATTAAGTAACACATTTGCAGGTTAAAGGTCACATGACATGCAGGTAAACAAATATTTAATCTTTTTTAGTACATGATTGTTTTTTTTTGTTTTTTTTTGATTGATTGAATGTTTACCTAACACATCATTTTAATCTAACAAAATGCATGGTGCAAAATTACTTTTCTAGAGTTTTTTTGTTTTGTTTTGTTTTAATGTGACATTGTGTAAAAAGTTTCAGAGTGTGAAGCTCAGGTCCAGTCATATTTTACATCAAAATCAAAAGAAAAGAAATAAGAAATTGTACTTCTCTTAATAAAAAATTCAGTCTGGTTTAGGACTGTTATGATTTTTTTTACATTGTAACATTTCATAAAGCAAGGATAATTTTCCTCAAAAATAAATTTAAAAAAAGAAAAAAAATTCTTAATACAGCCATACAAAAAAATACTACCCTTAATTTATAATTATTTAACTAAAAACATTTCATAACAGTATTTTTTACTTTAACAAATTCAAAAATATAGCAGTAAATCAATGACAAAAATAGTTAAATAGTAATTTATCATAATTTCTTTTTTAGAGTAAACTATAATCTGGACATAACAAAGACCATTTTGATAATGTTAATAAAGAAAATTAAATAACCAAAAAAGCGAACACATTTGATGACACAAATTATACACACCAAATGTGAAGAACCATAGAAAAGCCGATTAGTGTGATGTTCATTCACTCAGTCATGTTCGCTGGCCGTGTGTCGCTGAAGTACCTGAGGAGCGTGGGACGGATCAGGCTCATACATTTGCTCGATGAGAGAGGAGGGAGGCAGGAGGTGGGCCAGGCGAGATCCCGCTCTGGGGGAGTCCAAATGAGGGAAGAAGTACCTGGAGGAATGAAGCCGAACAAACACAAACGAGACACACCACCAACACACAGAGAGATGATGGAAAAACGGTCAGTGAGGAAAAACTAGGAAGCAAATAAAGGCTGAACACAAGGTAACAGGAGGCACATTTCATTACACCAAATACACCAAATAATGTTCTTTTTAGCAACATCATATGACCCCTTTAAAGGAATGCTTCGGTTTCAATGCAATGAAAAGTTAATCAACAGCCATAGTGTGTAAGGCATAGTGTGGCCATGGGGACTTGGGGCAAAAATGGCACTAAATTGGACAAAAATGCCCCTGCACTAACAAATTAAATCTATTAAGTCTGTTGCTAACAAAGTGAATATGAATAGACAGTGTCGATTGCGGCATTAAATTAAGATCTGCTCATGTTGCACCTTATTTCATTTTAGGCGTTTTTACAGTGTTACGCATTTGAACCAATCACACACAATTCTGTTGAGCTTAGAAATGCAATGGCCAATCAGAAGCGTTCAGATGAGTCATCGTTCAAACTCATCAGTTTTGTTGAGTGCGCGGGCGTTCGCTACCTGAATTCCGGACTCTTGCGAATTCTCTCATCATAAACAACAAAGCGCAGATGTACGTACAATGTAAGTAAGAGAT